GACAGTAACTGGGTGGATACCCTGAAACTGTACTGAAAAGTCGTGATCAGCGAGGTCCACCATGTGTCAAGATGTAGGGGATGCTAATCGATTTGATTGGTTAAGCGTAGAGTTATATCACGAACTAACGAAGTCAACATTTCCGAATCACTGGATTGTAAACTAAATGGCTGAATGGTCAACGAGTTTCGTTTCGTAACTTAAAAGTCCCAGTTCGACCACTGGAGTTGAGGTGGTGGAGGTGCACTGTTAAAAAATGTCTCTAATCTAGGACAAAGCAGCCGTCTACTACTCTCCGGCAGTATTAAACGACATCTCCAAATAATATTGATTGGTGATGAATTCCACGCTGAAATATTAAAAAGGCCAATTGTTACTATTCTCATCAGTTTCGAATGGATTATAGGGATGCAACAATAAATCTCCACTTTCTTCTCTTCTCTGCTGTCCACTGCAGCTGGCTGGCTCCACGATTGTCCATAATCTGTCATCTCATATTCCAACTCACACAATCTACTCCATATCACCCTTGCACCGACAACCCACTTGTCACTTCACACCCGTATTCCACATGAACTACGGACTGCATTACGCGTGATGACATTCGATGACCTCCCCAAAGTATACCCATTCAATCCATCTCCTTTTTTTCTGCATGTTTTTTGCGCAATCGACTATCGACTGTTGGTTTTTTTCCAGTCAGAGTTTCTTGTTGCTGATTCTTTGCGGCCAACTGGTCATCTGATCTTCAGTATGGAGCCAGCCAGCTGGCTAATGTGACAGCTGTTGATAAACGTCTGAAGTGGTTTTTTGGAAATCTTTTTTCGTGATGCGAGTGCACCGCACGTTTCTGACCCGTATAGAAGAAGTGACTGGCTGACTTCAGATTGGTGCTGAATAGAATCCGAATCTTGTTGTGTATGTTGAACCGGAGTGCAGCGCGGATTGATTTGCAAACTGGTTTCAGGTTGATGAATGTGTATCTCGCCTTCCAGATTCTGGCAGACTGCTTGACTTCGACATCTTCATCCACTTCGACTGCCTGTGGTTGAAACGGTACTCCCTGACTAGATAAGTGAGGGCAAGAAGTGATCTCTGTGAAATTCCTCCCTGTGAAAGTGGTTGGTGCTGTTTGTTTTTGTTGATGCCGTTGGTGTTTGGTTGTTTGTCTTCATTACCTCCGTTTCTATCTTCTCTAAGTTCACCTGCAGTCCTCTCTTCGCTCCCAGACTCTTCAGGCATTTTGTTGGTTTTCACTTTCCTGCAAATCTTAGAGGTTTTGTGACATTAGACATAAACCATCCACACGCGAAATTCAGACTCTCTGAAATCGTCTTATCGGTCTGTGCAGCGTATTCCTGTCTTCTCACTCCCAACGCATGATCTGACGCATAATCCAGTCCACCAAAATTAAGAATATCATTAGTGATAATTGGCAGGCAGCTTGCTTGTCTTACTCCTTTATTCACTTCGAACGCCTCGTTGAGTTTTCCTTTGTGAATCACCTGACGCATTACATTGTCTTACAGCCAGCTGTTGAATGAGCTTGATAAAAATTTGAGTATTGTATGCCATAATGTTGAAGTAGTTTCTAAATTACTCCTCTGAAAACGCTGTCGCAGGCCTGCCAGAAGTCGATGAATTTGAGGCAGAGATCTGACTACCATCCTACGCTTTATTCGATTACGATGATGATGATGATGATGTTTGGTGACTTTGCAATCCGATCACCACATTATTTCCCTTTCTTGACTTGTTATAGTAGACATTTTAAAGTTAGGTGAAATAATCCCCCTAGTTTTCATTGTTCTTCACAACTAAATGAGACAACTAAACTCACTGCTGTGCATCATACCAACTCTTGATATCACTAATATGAAATATAAAAGTAAAATGAAATGAAATTTAGTCTGACAACAACCCTAATTTGTACTAATTCTCATTGTACTACTGAATAATGCATTTCAGTAGAATACTAGACATTCCAAAAATATTTGTTGAAAAGGGGTAACTTATCCGCTAACTTATAAAATTCTAAAACTGCACACAGTTTATAGAAAATAAATTCCATGGGTTAGGTGTAATAATTGTGGATGAGTTGAGTCAGCGCATTCTGGCTATCACTGAAACGTAGCGTCTCTACGTGGTGTGTGTGTGGAGATATTTGAGGGGTGACAGAGACTGTAATCGGTACAGGTGAGAAAGTAGTAGAGGGCTGTATCTAAGTATGAATTGTTAATAATGATGAGTTTGTACTGGAAGAAATCTAGCTATAAAACAGATTTTCGGAAATGTTTCATTTAAGGTGACTTTTTTAATGCAGCATATGTAAAAGGAGCATCTATTTTTTCTCCAGAATGCATCAATAACTTCGATACCAGATTACTTCTAACTGTCATGGAGTAGGCATTGATTCAGCAAGTCTTAGATGAAACAGAATTTTGCCATACCTAGGGCTCTTCACTACTGGATCTGGTGTTAATGAATGGTGCCGATGACATGAATGAGCTTAGTTTTTCACTCCCTTTCAGTTAATAGTGACCATATGGTGTTGGTGTTCATCACTAGAAATAAATCGTCAATGGAGTCCAAATCTCTTAGAGTCTTCTTGTTGGCCCGACGTGTTCTTGCCTTCTAGATCCGCACCACCTGCCACATTTCTGATAGTAGGCACCCTTGTCTTATTCCTGTCCTCACTTCAGTGGCACCACTGAGTTTTCCATTGTGAATCACTTGACATGAGGCATAACCGTATAGATTCATACAGCCGGTTCCCTTTTTATAGGTTGAATAAAGAAATAACGAACATATTTGTAGGATTATACGAGCTGGTTTTATTCCATGGATTCTCTTTTTTTCAACCGCCTACATCCTAAATAAATCAATTATATGCTACAAAATGGTGTCTGAACTTACTTTTTACAATGATTTCAAGTTATACACAGAAAGTAAAGGCAACATAATTTCAAAGACGATGTGGATAGTCAAAAATATTTGGTGTTCAAAGAGTAACTATTTATACAGTAAGTAGACAAAAGGGTTGCAATTCAGATTTCACTTGGAAACAAGGATGGATTAGAGAGAAAATACAAGACAAAACAAGGGAGTGAATTTTTACATATTATCATGGAGAAAGAGTTCAGGAGAGTGGAGGTGAATAGTGGAGCAGAATTATAAAAATAGATAAAATAATTCAATTTAGTAGATTTGGAACCTTAATAGTGAGTTCAACTCGATGAGTGGAAATCAGCAGTTAGATAGAGTGGAATGTTATGCAACAGAACAAAGCACAACAGTACACAAACTAAAACACTTATGGTTACCAAGGTATTGTCTTTCTGTATGGATAGGCTAAGTCAAAGTCTTTTGATGCCAATGGCTTCTGCAAACAGGAGTACTCATGTTCAAAAAATGTTGTAACATATAAGTGATTTATTTATCATGTACGCAGTTGAAGAGAATCCACGAAGTAAAACGAGCTCGTATCATCCTGCAAGTGTGTTCGTTTTTTCCTTATTCAAGTCATCTAGTTGTTCAAAGTTCGGGGCTCACCATTCCGTAGAGGTTGAAGCAGTTTCCAGATCAATTAACAATAGACAAATTCGAAGGCGTTTTCAGAGTTGATAAAGTTGATGTAAAGAGTTGACCGTCATCCTCTGCTGTGTTCAATGATGATTCAAAGTGTTACGATTTGATTCTCCCATGATTTTATTTCCCTGAATCCAACTTCTGCCGTGAAAAGTTCTGCATCCCCAGCGTCTTCCACTCTCCCCAGTTAATGAGAAATAATCTTTCGCCTAGACAGGAAAGGAACAAAATTCCTTGTCAGTTCTTTCAAAGGCATAAATCGCCCTTCTGTAGTAGTTCGATAAGATAGCGTTTATTTCAATCAATAGGTACCTTTCCTTCCTTCCAAACACTCTGTATTAGCTGCGTGAACACTGTAAAGTTGACCGACTGAAAATTTTGTTTAAAGACTTCACAATGAGTTAACGTCGTTTAGAGAACCACTGAAAAACCTGCAGGAAGTAAAGATCAACGGTTTCGCCACAGTTTGAGACTCTTTGTCTGTGTGCTCCACCCACCGGGATTTTAACCCATAACCTTCTGGCTACAAGGCGAGCTCGTAGACCATTTAACAGTTAGGACCCAATTCAATGTCCCGTGAATTCCAACTTCTAGTGACGAGCCGTTACCAGTGGGGTACAGAAGGTAGAGTGCGACGACAGTTGCTCGCTGATGACACTGGCTACTGGTCGCGCTATATAGTGAATTGGCAGAAGTTGTAATTCATGCACACGTCAACCTCAATGTTCAGTGTACAATCCCTTCTGATGGCTTGATGGTTATGTATTTCTAAACAGTTTCAAAATAGGACGAAACAGATGTCCAGTAGCCTCTTGTTCTCAGTGACCTCAAAATCATGTTTAGTACTGACTAAATTGAAATTAATTTAGTTCAAATCCCATAATCTAAATATCAATCTACGATTGTACTGAGAAGTCGTGATATTCAGTGTTCACCAGGTGTCAAGATGAAATCGATGCTCACAAAAACGCATTGATTGAGCATGGCGCGGCATCATGAGTTGACAAAGTAAGAATTCATAGGTCACTGAATCCCGGCCGAAATTGCTGAATGGTCAACCAGTTTAATCTGGTGATCTCAGAGTTTCGAGTTCAACCCCTGACAGTAGGGTTTTGGGCGCGTACTGTTCAAGAGTTCCCCAAAATAGGCTGGAACCACTGTCCAATGACCCCTATCGGTTTTCAATGATCTCTCTACCTAAATTTAGTTCGTCAGGGAATCTTTACTCTTACAGGCTTAAGAACTCAAAATTCAGTTTCTGATTGGTCAATAGGTAGAAAACGTGAGAATCGATAAACGGACATTTAGCCAATCACTACTGAGCATCCCACTATTTAATGGCTGAATTATTTTTGTACAGGTAAGTTTTAATATTCATTCACCAGTTACTTCTATATCCATTTACCTGCTAAATGATTAAAAGTCTAATCATCATTACTATTGTGTGTATTATAATACATTTCATTATTTATGCTTATACAGCTGGTTTTGTCTTCATATCAACATGTGATAATCAATCTACTATGCTGAATGATACAATGAATTGTACACATTCACGTTGGCTAGCTGCACGGGGTTTACCGAATGAATCCTACTTAGTCAATTATACAATGACAAGAGTTAAAACTTCAAAAACTTGTTTCTTTGAATGTCAATCTAATCCTAATTGTCATGCCTATTTATTTCAGCTAGTGAGTTCAATAGATTGTTGTGTGAAACTGTTCAGCTGTGTTGTTTTTTAAAACTTTTATCTTTTCTTTGTGTTTATATGTTGATTGACGGAAACGAAATGTTTGGCGTCTGTTGCCAACATGATGACTTCTAGTGTACGGATGCTTCCAGGATGTTCAAGCATTCGGTGGATGGTGACCAGCACTAGGATCCAGAACGTGAGTATTTCTTCCACCCCCACCCCACCCCAATGTGGAACTGATCAGCTAGTCGATGTACCTGCAATTCCCCAGTGAGTGATGCTGTTCTCATTGAGACTCGAACCCTGAACACATCGTTTCAAACGCCAAAGCATTTTTTACCAGATAATTTGGGATACAAGAGCCAGTTCTTGTGATGATTGATTGAACCAAAATGTTCGGCTCCTGTCAAAATTTTGACTCCATTTGTATTTTCTATTCAAACTGGAACCAACAAGAGTAAACCAAGCCTGATAAATAATTAGATGTCAATATTCATTTGCAAGGGTTAGTTAGTATGGAGGGGGTTGATTTAATTGGTAGATGGTGACTAGCAGTGGAATCCAGGATGCCCATTTCGTCCCATTTGGGACTCGTCATCTGGGTGTACCTGCATCTCTCAGTGACTCAGTGATGATGTTCCCACCGAGGTTCAAACTTAGTGCCCATAGTTTCAAACACCAAAGCGTTATCCACTAGACCACTTGGGCCACGAGAGCCACCTCTTGTGCAACGGGTCAAATTGATTTTATTGAATTTTAGATTTTCCCGTCGATCGATTGAACCAAAGGGCTAGGTCTCAGGTTGACATGTCGGCTTCTTGAGCAAGAGGTGGCTCTCATGGCCCAAGTGGTCTAGTGGATAACGCTTTGGTGTTTGAAACTATGGGCACTAAGTTCGAGCCTTGGTGGGAACATCATCACTAACTGAGAAATGCACGTACATCCAGATGACGAGTCCCGAATGGGACGAAATGGGCATCCTGGATTCCACTGCTAGCCACCATCCACCAATTAAATACTAATTAAATGCTCAGACATCGTCGAAGCATCTGCATAAGAAGCCGAAATGTCAACCTGAGATCGAGCACTTCGGTCCAATCAATCGATGGGAAACTCTAAAATTCAATTAAAGGGGGGTTGATTTGTTCCAAGTTTGATCACAGATTGTTATCACTTAGAGAGCCCTTGAAAACCAGCAGTGGAGTACTGGACAGTTTTTCTTTCCTGGTTTGGGACAGAGTTCGAACCCAAAACCTTTCGTTTACAAGGCGGGTCCGTAGACCATAAATTTCAACTTCTATCAATTCGTAATTTTTGGCACGACCACCTTCCGATGTCATTAGCAAGTATTTACCCTTGCACACAACTTGATGTTAATTCATTTGATGATGACTGGAAGTGGAATCCTGAATAAGCATTTTGCCTTATACAAAAGTCCTCAGACAGTTCATATATATGCACATTCCTAGTGAGTGATGATTTTCCTACTTAAACATGAATCCAGCCTAATTCAACACCAGGAAATGCAAAGATTAACCTAAAAACGAATAATAAGTGATATTCATTGCACAATATGTGGATTTTACTAACCCAACTGGTCTAGTGGATAGTGCTTTTGGTGTTTATAACGATGGATTCAGGGTTCGAGTCTCAGGAGGGGGAGGGGGGGAAATCATCACTCACCGGGAATACCAGCACACCTACTAGTTGACAAATCTTAAATAGGAGGAAATATTTAATTTGGGTTCCACATTGCTAGTCACTACTCACGAAATCACCTCATATCAATGCGCGCACATCGTCAAAAAGTCCACGATAGGAGCTGATATATCAATGGAGACTGTTCAATATAATCAGGTAATGAGAAGTACAAATTAACATAAAAAATAAATAATGTAATGACGCTGGTAAACAGGAAGTCATTCATCACTCAGTCACACGGTAGATGGGTACAGCTCTTTGTAGTGGCAGTGGATTGATGGTCAGGATAACAGCTAAGTGGCTCAGTGCAGCGGATAGTGAGCTGCGTTAATCATTCACTGGTCACTGATTGGTATCGTATGGCAATCAGATGAATATTCACCTTCTATTCTCCTGAATTTTACGGAATGTAGCCAGTCAAATCTAATAAACTCTAGGCGATAATGTGAATTAATTTCAGACAGGCAAACTTTTTCTGATTTTTCAATCTTTAAACTAATTTGCGATTCACACAGTTCAACGAGGAAGTGAGATTTAATCACAGTTTGGTCTGTGAACCGAAATCTCTTAGATCACAATGTGTGATCTCTATGATACCATGTAGTTTTATACATCGACTACTAGGTAAAGAGGGTAAATCAGTAGACGAGGCTGTGAAGTTACATCGATTGAGATGGTTAGGACACGCATTACGCATGCATCCCTAGCTATCGCCTTCCTCTACGGGCAATGTTAACCACTGACATAGGGTCAGGTTGGTAAAGAGTTAACCAGTGGTGGTCTCACCAAAGCGTGAATTCATCAGTCAATAAAATCCACAACATTTAGTTTAAGCCAGCCAGCCACGTAGGAAATTGTAGACTTTCTGACTAGTTGGAGTTCTCGGGACGGTAAAAACCAACGTTGGTAGACGGTTGTTGATATGGCTGTTTCAAAATCTTCGTTGTCAGTGGCTAGTTCTGATGTATCCACTCCTTGTGACTTATAACACCCAATAAAACTATATTATTCTTCGATATTACTATTCTTTTTGCCTCATATCTCTGTTTACTGTCTCTCCCTCTTTCTTGTTCTTCTCTGGCTTTGTGTGTTGATTGAAATGTGGCTACTCGAACTGTTGCACATCGGTGGAAAGTTCTATTCTATGCTGAAACCAGTTAGTCAGTTACATGCATGCCCGACTTCTTCATTATCCTTCGTCGTATCAATGAGATCACATATTGTGAGGAGATTTGAATAATTTTGGTTTCCAAGGGAAACTCAGATGAGATAATCACCTCATCGAACTGTATGAATCGCTAATTTATTTTCCGTCTGCAAATTTAATTTATGGTGTTACCAGTTTGCCGAAGTACCTAGGCAGAAATCTGGTGAATGGAACTGATTCAACTCTCCCCAAACTGAATCAAATTGGGCACACCACTGAAGAAATTGACCCATGGCTGTCCTGTGTTTAGATCACTTGAGTGATCTACCTACCAAGTACTACTGGTTGTTGTGAATGGTATACAACTACTTATCTCAGTTAATCAGTAATGTGTATATTTTTGTGTAATTTGTTGACAACTTCACACACTCACATAAGCACCATCAGTCTTTCAAGCCTCCTTATTCTACTTGTCTTCCTTGTCTATTCATTAGAATTCATCCACAGTGTGTACACTGTACAATAAACCTGTTGATCGATCTGTACCAAGAAGTAATCGGACCTCATATCATTTTGGAACAAGAGCATGTTGCAGTGAGTTATCGTTTCGTTATTTCATTATTGCCCAACGTTTTTTCGTAATGGCAGTGAAGAAAGTATTCAATAACAGGTGGTGTAATTAGGCTTTTTATACTCAATTACTTCAATGGTGTCATCATTTTTGACGCCTTTTTCACTATAATACAGAAATAATATTCAGGTATTGATTTGTAGGGATTTGATTGGCTGCCTACTGGATTTCATCATGAATTAACATCAGTTAGAGAACCATTGGAAAACCCAAAAGGAGTACTGGAAAGATGGTTCGCCAAATTAGTTCAGGACTGTTCGACCGCACGCACCCACCATAGGGGTCCGAAATAATAATAATAATAAAAAGTAGGCTGATGTAAACTTCTGCATGCAGTATACATGTAATTAACCAAATAATTGTACCAAAAATATGATACAAGACCCTCAAAACCTAGAATAATCTGGTCCTGTTTAGAAGCATACTGTAGTGTCAGCGCATCAGTACAAGCATATCCCCTTGAAACCTAACCAAACACCGGACAGATGAATTTTTTATGTAAATCGATATGAAGATCTAGAAGTGTGGTTGCAAAGATGAGAATCTTCTTTCCGTAGAACCCAACAACTAGGTTGTATATTCATAAATATATATATATATCGAAGAAATGAGAAAGTTCCGGAAATACTTCCAGTCGAGAGACAAATTAAAACGGATAACAATTTGAAAATCATACAATACAGATAGGTTATTATGATAATAAACAGGAATTTTGGGATAAGAAACTTGGTCTGATTATGTTTATTAAGAGAATTGACTGTTTATATCGATCGTAGTAAAGACAAAGATTGGACTTACTTCTTTTAAATACATAGACAGTATCGGCTTGAATTTCTCGACTGCTAATGATGATTCAGATGTCTTGATCTCACAAGATACTATCAAACCTCTGTAAGGGAGTGATCTCACATTCTTTTCAAATGTTGCCTAACGTAGATTTGATTAATTTCAAGGTCGGTCATGAATTCATTTCAGTTAGAGGACCACTAAAAATCAGGTAATACTCGACAGCCGTTTCGTCTTTGTTAAGGACTCTTCACAGTGCCTAGTCGCGATCTAGTCAGGAGTCGAACACAGGACCTTTAGGTTCAAGGTGTGATAGTAGATCGTTCAGCCACTGGGATAGAATGTGATATCTCTTCATTTCTAATTCAGAAGTGAGTTACTTCACAATAAATTTGTTTCAGTTTCTCTTGGGAAGTTGTGACCAGCAGAGACGCAGAAGTTGGGTGTGACGACAAATACTTGCCGATAACACGGGATAGTGATAGCCCTACATATCACAAACTGGCAGATGTGAGAGTTCATGGGCTAGCCACTGGATTCAGTTCCAGTGACTGAATAGTTTACAGGCTGGCCTTGTAACCTCAAGGACCTGGGTTAAATAGGTAATACGGTTATGATGGCATACTCATGGAGAATGTCAAACTAAGGAGAAAAATCCGTCCAGTAATCGACGGTTTCCCAGTTGTTTCCTAATAATGTCAACTCGTGATGAAATCAAACCTGAAGAAGCTTCTTTTTTATTTGACTTTCCATGAAGTAGCTGTTATTGACAACAGGGATGCTTTTGTTTAAATAATTATAATATTGTGCGTCGGTGGCACAGTGGTTAGGACTCTCGTCGACCATGCGCATGGTCCGAGGTTCGAAACCCCTGCCGATGCACACTTGATATCAATGGTCGGCCTGCAAAATTTGGGCTACCGATATCACATGCTGCAAATTCCATACTTGTACAAAAATACGGTGTGGAATCAAGCTGCAATCAAAAATATAGAAAAAATATATATAAATATCAGTAGGTTACCGTTCGAAATCGTGCTTAAGTGACTATATTCATAAAAATTTAATACTCCATTGAATATCAGATCCAAATTAAGAAGAAAACTTAAGACGGCAACAACCTGTCAAAGGTTTAGGAGAAACGCAGTGAAAACTTATTACCGAAGAGGAGAGACAAATAAAACATTGAATTGTCTTATCACTTCAAAGGATACTTGAATAGACCATCACAGGCAACTCGCCCACAAAAATACTACGTCCACAAACAACAATCACAGAAGTGCCTGCCAGTGAACACCAATCCTCCAACGAAATAAGAATCTTGAATACGATCAATCTGCTGAAGTTCAGTCGGGAAGGAAGCAGGGCTAGACGGAATTCCTCCAAAAGCACTGGAAACGGACTCAGAGACTGCGGCAGATTTGCTCACGCCATTATTGCAAAAGGTTTGAAAGTTGGGAAAGGTACCTATCGATTGGAAGAAATGTTGTCTACTTTGTCTGGCTACCAAAGAAGACCGACCTATGCCTCTCTCTTCAAGAACTGACTGGAGTGAAATAATGCTCTAGTCCATATCAAGTAAATACTAAGTCGCAATATCCTGGGGAGAATAAAGGATGCACTGGATACAGAACTCCGCCCCCATCCCAGAACAAGTTGGACTCAGGAAAGGCAAATCATGTGCTGCTGAAATCACAACTTTGCGAATCGTCATCGAACAACGCATAGAATGGCAGTCAAACCTGTACCTTAACTTCATGGACTTCGAGAAGGCCTTCAACAGACACCGTTGACCGAGAAGTAATTTGGAATGCCTAAATCTTTATCAACGTCATTCATCAACAGGTGATCCACAACGGAAAACTGAGTGAGGCGTTCGAAGTGCATAGAGGAGTAAAACAAGGGTTAATATTAGCAAAAAGTTTGAGCATTGTGGATTAGATCAAATAAAGAATAATTAAATTTCAATAGTCTGCACTATTGAAATTTTTTTAAATTTTTTTTTATTTTTTTGGTTACAGCTTGATTCCACACCGTATTTTTGGTGCAAGTATGGAATTTTCAGCGTGGATATCGGTAGCCCAAATTTCTCAGGCCGACCATAGATATCAGGTGTGCGTCGGCGTGGGCTCGAACCTCGGACCAAGAGCATGGTCGGCGAGAGTCCTAACCACTGTGCCACCGACGCACAGATTAGATTATATAGAAGATTGCTTATTTGGAGCTAGAAGTTAGGAATACGTTGAACCGACCAGAAAACTCTAGAAGATCTGGATTTCGCGTGTGGATGGTTTATGTTTAATACCGCCCAAATTGTAGGTCTACGGGTGAAAACCAGTAAGTTGATAGAAGTGGCCGGCAGCGACGATGGGAATTCAGGTGAACCCAAAGAAGACAGAGGAGTTGAAGATAACTTACTGACAAAAACATCAACAACCACACTGATCACTTGTCTAGCAGACATTGTCTCAACTATAGGTTGCAGTACGGATGATGTCAAAACCAGGGTCCGAAAGGCAAGGTACACTTTTATTGATCTGAAATCAGTTAAGAAATTTGCTTCATTCAGAGTAATGAACGGGATTCGGATTTTGAACACCAAACTTATGTCAGTCGGTGATTCTATATGGGTGAGAAACCTCCATTGCGAGTCCCGAAAAGCAATTCAAACAGGCTACAGCAGATATTTATCAACAACTTTCTTCGTCGACGAATCCATACCGGAGATCAGATGACTGGTCAGAAAGAATCAGGACAAGGCACAATGGGAACAAACTAATTAAGGAACTATCGCTCAAAAAGTATGTAGGGAAAAATGGAAATGAATTGGGCAGACATTGAGGAGGCTGTCGAATATAACCACACGCCAAGCCATCTCTGTGGTTGAACCGGAATGGAAAGGGATGAGATGGGCGTCTGAGGGTGACGATGAGGAGATTATGTGAGGAGGAGGTGAGAGACTATGAGAAATCTTAGGGTCAACCAAAGAGAATGACAGAAAATGGAAAAAGTAGAGATGTTCTATTGAAGCTCAGTGCCCTTCTTGGAACTCATGGGAACAATAATAATAATAAACAGGAAAAATGGAAAAATTTCAGAATTTTACAACCAGGTAACGATGACCAAGGTAAGATAGGCAGTTATACGAAGTGCATTTTTGAACCCAGAATTTAAGACTTATTCATATGGATTCTAGGGCAGCGACGAAACAGGTATAAAATGGACCCACACAAAAAAATTGGAGGATCTGGACTTCGCCCCCATGGTGATGTATGATCTCCCTCAAACTGGAAGATATGCAGGTGAAAAGAAACAAGTTGGCACAAGAAGCATCAAAGATAGCAAGGACTTCAGGTGAACGTAGAGAAAACAGTGGTGAGCAACAGCAACAACAGACAGCAATCAGCATGAATGGGAGAAATCTGAAAGAAGCAACCTCCTTCACCTAACTACCTGGGAAGCATAGTTTTAACTACAGGAGGACGGGACTGACGAGGATATCGAAGCAGCCAGGATCAGAAAAGCAAGGCAAGCTTTCATTTCTCTCAAGTTTGTGTGGAAGTCAACAGCACTCAGCATCAAAAATAAGATCGGATTTCCAACTCCAATTTGGAGTCAGTGCTACTTTATGGATCAGAAACTTGGCGTCATGTCACGAAGAGCACCTCAAACAATCAACAGGCCTTCATCAACAGCTGTCTTCCCTTTATACTAATCAAGATCAGATGGCCGGCCAGTAAAGATCAGCAACAGGGACCTATGGGAGCGAACCAACCAGGAAGCAATTGCGCAACAAATATGCAGGAACAAATGGAGGTGGTTGGCCATACTCTGAGGAAACCATCAAGTGACATCACAAGACAGGCCGCTGCTTGAGTGTAACCCAAAAGGGAAGTGGCGAGTTGATCGTCAGTGCAAGGGTGACTTGGAGGAAATCATGTGAAGAGGAGATGAAAGAATGTGTGAAGACGTGGAGCTAGGTGAAAACGTTGTCAGAGAGCCGAACGCAATGGAGACGCGCGGCTGAAGCCCTGTGCTCCTCTAGGAATTAAAGGAAATAATAATAATATAATAATATGGATTCCATGGCTTCAGCTGTGTCTATAACACGAAATTTAAGGCAAAATTAAGATTAATTTGCTTATGACAGAAAACTTTTAATGCCTTTTTAACACTGAATTTATGTTTATGTGAGCTAAAACGGAGCCACGAAAAGGATGTTGCTTGTCTCATGCTTAACCATGCGAGACTATGTTCAGAAATTCGATGACGAATACAGCTGAGAGTGCGCTTAATGTTGGTACTGAACAAAAAGTTGGTTTTAACAAGACATTTAAAACTGTCTACCGTATTCCGAAGTTTGATCTTAAGTTAACCTTATGAGTTCATCTCCTACATATAGCTGAAGTCTTCGTAATCTACATGATGGAGAAGTTAAACTTATGTGTTTAAACAGATTCTTTTTACAGCTGCTTTCCTTACCTTGGTCATCATTATTCTACTGTGAAAATCTGATAATTCCCTATTCTAGCTGATCAAAAATGCCCATAAGGAATTTCAGAAGACCGATTGCTGAACAAAGAATATTCTTTTGGATAACCTGCTCTTCATCAGGTTCTACAGTTATATAACCATCCATAATAATGATAGGAATTTAATAAAGACACTCAACTACAGAGTCAGATATATATGCTTGGAAGATTTAATTTAAGATGAACTTAGTATTGTGCATGACACCTACATTGGAAATAGCTGTCCTAACAAATTTATCAAGAAACACATGACCAAGAAAGTAGAAAAGGACTATTCTCCATCTCTGTATAAGAAACTTTAATATATATGGCTGCAGTTCAAAGGTGATGCACCTAGCAAAATAATTACCAAGAAGTTAAGAAAATGTATTCAGAGAAACATTAATGCTGACAACGTAGAAGTCTTGTTTTCTACACTACCGGTTGTGATTCTCCAATTGAAAGACAAAGTACCTATACCAGCCACTTCTAACTGTATCTGCTAATTCAACTGCTCTTGTCGTGCAAAGAGTTATTTTGGACGTTCCAACAGGAACTTGATTTTTCGTGCTTGCTCGAGAACATCTACCAGTGTGGCTAAATAAGGGTGTAGTAAAAACTGTCATCAACAGTTCGATATTAGACCAGCTGGTGCAAAGTGACCGGCCACGAAGCCAATACTGAAGAATCCTTCTCTATCATCATTTGTCTGGTACCACATAAATTGCCAAATTCATCGAGGTACTGCATGCTCCAAACAGCAGAGGCTATCGCGATTCACGTGTAACAACCAGCGCTTTGTGTGCACAAGTAGTAAATCCAACCACTCCTTCTGCCCTAGCCAGCCTTCAGTAGAGGCTATAAATTCATGAATTTGTATTATTATCTTTCCTAATTTCTCTATCTGATATTCATTAAATTGTTAAGTTGACACTATTGAACTGTAATCTATTCATATTGTTCATTTATTCGATGTTATTTGAACAACATGAATGTTATTCATAACACTAATTCATTCATTCACTATAATGTATATATAACTGTAGAACCTGTTGGAGAGCAGGTCATCGAGAAGAATATTCTTTGTTCAGTAATCAGTCTTTTAAGATTCCACATTCTTTGTAAGTTATCGGAAAGGGGCGGGGAGGAGAATTTTCGCAATACTACTATGAATTGTTAAATTGACTACCAGTTGACTAAGTCTTATTCATATCTCTTAACTGTCACAACACACACATACAAAGTATTAACTGCCTATGAATCGATTTGTATTGTTTTTCTCTTATTCGTATTCTCTTCTAATTAGATATCAATAATGACTTCATGGTTCTGGTATTTTGTTCACCATGTGATTACTGTCAAAATGTGACAAACTGTAGTGCAGTGAGATGGATTGGTCGTCCAGGACTACCAGTAAGGAGTTTCATAGCCAATTATACACTAGCAGTGGTCAACACCACAAAAAGCTGCCTAGATGAATGTCAACTAAACACGCAGTGTTTTGCATATTCCCATAGTTTGGTAAGTAAGTTGAATGTATATTTATCGGTAATAATATTCAGAAAAGTTCCTTTTGGTGAAAACGGAAAAAGCTGAAAATGTCATGACCAATGGGTTGCATTGAGTCGGCTTTGAGGAGAAATACTCTCCGCTGATGACACTGACTAGTCGTCGGGCTATAATGACAACTGGCAGAGGTTGGAATTCATGGGTTAGTTATTGGATTGGGTCAAGCCGGCTGAATGGTCTACGAGCTAGCTAGCCTTGTAGCCTGAAGTTCTTGGGCTAAAACCCCAGTGGGTGAGTACTAGTGTAGAGTCCCAAACTGGGACGAAACATCTGTCCAGTACCCTGAGCTGTTCCAAGGGTTCTCTAACCGATGACAGCTCATGATGGAATCCTGTTGCAACGACAGAAGACAAAGGCCAGGCAACAGATCGTTTATTGAGAAAATCAACAGATATTTATAGATTTTTATGTACATTTTTATTAGCAGAGAAGCAACGTCTTGTGAATGGTTGTTTTCCTGCTGAAGGTTATTCTGTCATTTCTTTGTTGCTGGTTCTTAGACAGTCCGTTAATATATCTGCTAATCTTATCCGCCCACGCTAAGTCTGTTGTGATTGGTTGTTGAGTTCCTCAAAGTTAGTCTTTATCCTTATTCTTCCTCATGACCAAGATTTAGGACGTAAACATTGACGTAAATCGCTACAAACAGCTCTCACCACAAACTTATTCCATTCAACATCTCATATTCACATGTTAATGTTATATTTAGATGAACTAAATAAAATAGTTTGAGTACATCGTTGGGTGGATTGTCGCTCTAACATTATAATAAGCGTAACATCGACACGTCTTAAATATATATTTTCATCTTCGCTTGGACATCATGCGTCTAGTTCTTCGTTTGATGCAGTCTGAATTCTATCACTAGTCAAGTCTGTGGTGTGGTCAACATTATAGGTGGCATGTCCCTTTTGGCTGGCAAAATTCACTCGGCACCAACAACGAGGATTCCACGCATGACACTAGTTACTGTCTAGTGTCCAAAGTATCAAAGTGTACATTTCAGTCCTATAGGTGATGAACCGCCATCTCCAGTAGCTCCAGTGCTAACGTCTCTGACTTCAGCAATGGGTGACGCGGGTTCAAAACTCAGTGGAGGCGTGAATTCCTTCAAGTTAGGAGATACGCCTCACTGAACTGTGCGAGTGCCGACAATCATAAGACCTAGGTCAAGTCACGGCTTCCTGTCAGTCACATCCAACCATCTCATATCACTGTTTACTTCTGTTTCCTTGATTTGTAGGGATTTGATTGGTTTCAGGATTTCCTCATGAGATGACATTAGTTAGAGAACCATTGGAAAACCTGGGAGTACTGGACAGCTGTTTCGTCCTAGTTTGAGACTCTTCAGACCAATAAGAAGCAGCGGGTCGGGTGTGAGAACAAATACTCGCTGAAGACATTGGCTAGCGGTCGCGCTATGTCGTCAATTGGCAGAAGTTAGAATTCAAAGACCATTGGATCGGGTCCCAGTGGCTTAATGATATACGAGCTCGCCTTGTAACCAGAAGGTCCTGGGTTCGAATCTCGGTGGGTGCGTACTGCTGAAGAGTCCCAAACTAGGATGAAACTGCTATCCAGTACTCCCTAGTTTAGTTTTGTCTAAATTAGCTGGAAGCTTTGTCCGTAACGAGTTATCCGGTCATGAACCAGATCATTTTTGTTCCTAGTGTATATATTGTTTTGTAGATATGAAAAGAGATATTTTGTGTTGATTGTAACAATGAAGTCTAAACCATATTGTTTGCATCTGACAATAAGATCGTAAATGATTTAGTTGTACTCAGATTTTCACTTACGTGCTGTTGTGGAGAAGATTTAGAGCATCCAGATGAAATGAAACTGAACTGGATTCATCCTAACAGAATTTTTATTGTTCATTTATAAAGGGAGCTATGTCTATGGAGTAACAAAAATAATAATTTTTGAATGTAGACTTTGTCACAAATCCACATAATTTAGAGATCATTGAAAGTCAGGGAGCACCAGGGAACTGTTTCGTCCTAGTTTGGGATTCAGGTTATGAGATGAAGGTTCAGCCACTTGTATCGGTAACCAGTGACCCATGAACTCTAACTTTGAAGTATCGGTTTACAGGGATTTGATTGATTGGTTACAGGACTTCATTATAAGCTGACATAGGTTAGAGAAACATTGGAAACCAGGGTGTACTGGACAGTTGCTTCGTCCTCGTTTCGAAGTCTTTATCAGTTCTCACCCACAGTGGTTCAGATCTAGGACGTTCCGGTTACAAGGTGAGTGACTAAACCATCCAGCAGCTTGAGAGTGACTACAAATACTCGCCAAAGACACTGGTTAGTGGTCGCGCTCTGTTGTGAATTTGAAGAAGTTGGAATTCATGGACTAGCCATTGGATTGAGTCTCAGTGGGCTTAGTGGTCTACTAGCTCGCCTCTTAACCAGAAGGTCTTAGCTTCGAATCCTATCGTTGGATGAGTGCCGTGAAGAGTCGGAAACTAGGACGAAGCAGCTGACCAGTACTCCCTGTTGGTTTTCCAATGATTCTCTAATCGACATCAACTCATGATGAAATCCTGTAACCAACTGTCACTATGCTCAGTTCGTCGTATAGCTTTACAGTTATTCGGTGCCTTCAGTGAGTCATTGGATCCTGGCCTAAGTGATTGAATACTCAGCAAGCTGACCTTGCATTCCGAAGGTTTAGGATCGTGAGTACGAACTGATGAAAAGCCCCAGATTATTGGACGAAACGTCTGTCCAGTACTTTTCGTTGATTTACAATGATTTGTCTTATCAATATTAGTTTGTGACGAAATTTTCGTTCCGTTTGCTCTATATCCCTACGAAAAACCTCATTATTTAAATCATTATTGCAAAAAATCGATACTTTCTGATTTTACTCCCCTACTCACAGAATTTGTCGACACACTGCACTCTTTACAACAGGACAATTAAAACAGGCTCAAATGATCCGAATATCCTATTGTCACATGCATACGCAACTATGGATTGTTGCCGTAGGTTTTCAGGTGATTTTCTTTATTGTTAATTGCTCGTATGGTTTTTTTAATTCATTTTATGCTTTAGTGAGTCAGCTACTAGGGCGATACGCATTGGGATAAGAATTAACAACATGATGCCATATACTACTGATTGGTTAAGTGATATTAGTAATTTGAGACCATTCATGTCAACGATATCTAGGGGGTTAACATGAAGTAATTTTTCGATGGTAGCTAGCATTAGAATCCAAGATGTGCATTTCGTTGTATCTGAGATCTGTCAGATAGATTACATCTTCAATCTGCCAGTAAGTGATGGTTTCCCCACTAGGATTCAAACATTTCAGTTCAAACGATCGACGAGAAAATCAAAAGTGAAATCAAAATTACGCAACAATCGGTGCCTGTTGTATAAGAGGTAACTATAGTGACCCACAGGGTTCCAGTAGATAAAGCTTAAACGTTTCAGTCTCCATGGGAACATCATCAGTCACTCGGAGGTGGAGATCGCACCCATCCACAATCTGACGAGTCTCGAAGAGGACGAAACTCACTTTCTGGATTCCACTTCTAATCACCATCCACTAAATTAAAACAGATTGAAACAATTTAGTATTTAAAGAGAGATGATGAGGAACTGTTGCAGAGTTATATGAAAATGTGGGTCTGCAGAGTGAGCTGTCCCCTCTCCTTTGTGGATTACATTTATCAATAGAAAGGCAAAACGGCTGAAAGTTTATGAAAGCTTCCTTACAAAAGATGACAATGAAGAGATCACTGGAACAGTTCTACAGTCATTTCTCAAGATGAGAGGGAATAATTCGTTTATAGTGTTGTAATGACAAGGAAGACCAAGGGCGGAATGAGAACAGATAACACAGTTTATCCATCTAAGCTTATACCGATGATACTTTTGTGCTTACTTATACACTGAATGAACACAAATCATGTTCAAATGAAATATTCGCGCCGGCGGCACAGCGGTAGAATGCTCCCTAACCACGTCAGTGATTCGGGGTTCGATCGCCGACAGACAAGGCACTCCTTTATCTGACTAAGCCAGTAATAATACTGGTAATGAGGGGTGGTTGGGTATGAGGCTAGCGACCCCATCCCGTAAAATGAAACACCACTGCCCTATGTCCTACTGAGAGCGTAAAGGAATAAACAAAAAATGAAAGATTTAGTTTAAGTAATCAGTATGAGTTGCAGTTACAGTTTTTTAAAGTCAGTGGTCCAAAGGTTTGAATCCAAGCTAGCCACGTGACTTTTCTCGGTTCGACTCCCAGTCGATCGACTTCTAAACCTTGTCTAGGCTGTAGTAAACCTGGGAAAAGGGGGGGGAATGATTAGGCGTAAATATAGTGTAACTCTAGAAGCACTACTGAAAATTCCAAGCTTAGACTTTGAAAGCCTGTGTTCTACTGAGGTAGTAAAGGAATAAGAAGGAGGGAGGGAGGGAGTGAGAGAGAGAGAGAGAGAGACAGAGTTTACAGTTTCGTATGAAATTTCTCACTAATCACTTTTTCTTCTGTCAAACTTCCATAGGATACCTTTTGTGTGTGTGTGTGTGGCTATTTTAGCATAAACTTCTATCGACAGTTTATTCATTTCCAATATGAGCTGTATTCATATTTACTCTTATACTATTTTACTGTGTATTCATATATAACTTCATATTTAATTGTACATGTATTTCAATGATCGATGTAAAATAAAGTTATTTTGTTAATTTTAAAATGCTTCGTTGTAAATACATATTCTTTACTCAAATCAAAGGATTCCTTCTATAACTGATTCAATTCTTTACATCACTTTACATTACTGAAATGAAATGAATTCGGTGTGTATATGAATCGATTGAATTGTGCTCTTTCTCTGTCAATAGCTTCCTTCACTAACTAGTCAGACATATGAATTTTAGATTATGATAATTAGTAATCTCCACTTTACTTTATTTTCTATTGTCCTCTCCAGCTGGCTAGCTCCTCGATTGGCCATCCCCTTCTCCAACACACACAATCTCTTCCATGTCAAACTCGCACCGATGACCCATTCGTCGCTTCCCATTAAGGTTCCACTCGAGCAGTGGCCTGCAATGTCATTCGACAGTCTCTTCAACGTATGCCCAATCCATTCATCTCCATTTTCTCCTACACATTTGTTGAGCGATTGCCTGATGCTTGATTTGTTCCACTGCAGAGTTCCTTGTTGCTAATTCTATCTGGCTCGCTGACCATTGAAGGTGGCTGCTGTTGATAAAGGTCTACAACCTATTGGAAATCCTTTTCGTTATACGCTGACCAAGTTTCTGATCCGTATATGAGAAGTAACTGACTAACTAACTTCACATTTGTGTTGAATAGTATCCGAATCTTGTTGTTTATGCTGAGGCGGAGTGCATTACAGTGAAGTGCGGAAGATTTCCAAGCTGGTTTCAAGTTCATCAAGGCTTGTCTTGCCTTTCCGATTCTGGCTGGCTTTGACATCCTCATCCGTTCAGACTGTCTGTGGCTGAAACAATTCTAGCTGCCTAGATATGTAAAAGCAGGAAGTGACCTCCGTCAAATCTCTCCCGTTGATAGTGACTGGTGCTGGTTGTAGTTGATGCTGATGGTAGTGGTGCGTGGTTATCTTCACAACATCCGTCTTCACCTACTCTATGTTCACCTGCCAGTTTCAGTGTTTGTGTGACATTTAAGATAAGTTATCCACACACGAAATCCTGGTATTCTATAGACTTCTTATCCGTTGATTTTATACCCGGCTTCTCGCTCTACACACACAGTCTGACGCATAATCCAGCGGATGACATAGGATAGAGTCTGAGAAGGGAGAAAAGTTTCTTTAAGGCTGCAAATACGCCTTACTGACCGGTGAGTGCCAAGAGGCATGAAATCTTCATCCAAGGATTCCTGTAGATTTTCTCGTAAAATAGAAACGTAGAGCGGTTCGATTCCTGACCGGTGCATACCTAAACCTCCCTTAGCCAATAACAAGTTCGGTAAAGAGGAACATTTGCGTATGAGGCTAGGTTGGCAACACCACCCTGTACAAAAAAAATACAACCACCACTAAAACAGTATATCGAATTTTCGTAAATCACGGTGTGTATCAGAGTGTCATTTCACTTGCATGCATGTGATAAAGAAATTTCAATCATCGCTCAGATGGAGGAGTAAATAGCTGAAATGATTATTGATTCAGCAACAAACTAACATATATGATCAAGTCTCACGGAATGTTAGTCGGACTGTGAACAGTTTAGTGGTATTTTTATTATGGCGTCAACAATGAATGCTAGAATGCAAAAAGAGACTCAGATTAGTTTTGTGATCTAACCTGAAGTCTGTTCAATCTCTGCTAACCTACCATTAAAAATGGATTCTTAGTTAGATGTGTTAAACGATTGAAATAATTATGTTTCTCATGTATAATGATAATAATAGAAACTTTATTTGAAAGGGTACGTTTCATAAAATGTGAAATTTTCAGCATTTATTACACTATTGCATCTAATTTTCCGTTTAAATTTGCAGAATACCAGGAAAATAATTAACAGGGCATTTACATTGAGAACAATATCAACAAGGAATATGAATAATACTTACTGAAATCATAATTTGGTGGAAATAGGGATAACAGTATGTTAATGACTGAGACAATAAAAGGGCTGATTGCTTACTGTCTCGTATCAGTTTAATGGTTTCCTGCCTAACACTTTTCTCATTATATAAAATGCTTCGTAATAAAGAAGTCCTTTGTAACTGCTTCTAGTCCAATCTGATGTAATGGAAGTGGGGGGAGGTTGTCTATGTAAAGAGGATGCTCAGGGTACGTTGGTAGGATATTCGCCAATTTCTTCCATGAGACAAAGTGTCTATCCACCACAGTTTTAACGACTTGTCTTAGAGACATCCCACTTGTCCTACCAACAGCTCTCAATGCCATTCTCAATGCAACTCATTCTTTCTTAATTAGATCAGGAAAGGCAAAGGAGGAGAAATAAAGAAGAATAGGTAGAATACAAGAATTAATAAACTGTGAAAGTAGGGTCTGAATGGCACCACATTGTCATAATTTTCTTGTGTAGAAGGTGAGGAAAAACACCTTCTTAGACATTAAACATGATGGGTGAAGATTAGGAAAGGTCAGAATAAATACGTTAATCAAGGGTAAATAACATTCGTCTCTATTTCAGTCTCATTGCCTTCTATATGATGTAGGAATCATAAGAACGAACCAGTTCATGTGGATCACGTTTGTTTCAGAAAATGATATAAAGAATCGTACAACTGGAGGGATTTAGCTGAAGATCATTCAACAAGGACCACTGACTAAATCTATGTGGAGTTTGCTTAGATTTATTAATACACTCACACTCATGTCGGTCAGTTGTATTAAATGTTATTGAATAGTGTCACCATGAAATAATCTACAATTTCGTCCTTTCAATCAGCAGTGTCTGTTAAAAGCTGGTTCATGAAGTGATGTCATTTAGAGAATTGAAAACCACGGAACACCGGACAGCTCATTTGTTCTAAGCTGAAGTAACTCTTCAAATGTGCACAACCACAGGGGTTCAAACGCATGCTCCGACGATTAAAAAGCAAGTGAGTAAACAAATTATTCAGTGGTCCATAGATTACAACTTCTACCAATCAGTGTTTTGTTTTTAGTGCGACCCTCAACGATTGTCACCGATAAGTATTTGTCCTCACTCCCGACCAGATAGATCCCACTGGTCACGACTTCTTACTAGTCAGTTATTGTTACTAATGAGCTTCAGATTAATTTTCAGGACTTAGTTTGTAGTCATTTGAGTTATTTCAATCTTGACTACCGATTCATATCAGTTAGAGATTCGTTTAAAACCAATAGGGGGGACTGGGCATTTGTTTTGTCCTAATCTGAGTCTTGTCAGCATTAATCAACCATCGGAGTTTGAATGCAGCACCTTCCGCTTACAAGGCAGAGTTCTGAACAAAGATTTGTAAGCTTTAATAATGTGCGTCGGTGGCACTGTGGTTAGGATTCTCGCCGACTA